CTTCAGCCTCCATGGACACGAACGAGTCGTGCTCAGACAAGTGCACAAGACTTGTATGAGTATCGACATATTCACAAACACCTGAACACTTTGTTAAATGTACACACTTCAAAGTGCACACGCACCACTGCCAGATGTTCGTGCACCATGGAGTTAAACAAGACGAGAGAGCGCACGCCATCATTGTGACATCATCACGGAGGAGCAACGACTCTCAGCTGATAAAGCAACTGTTTGCAAACCCACCTGGATCTGTCACAAATTATTTATAATATTTTAACAATAAATTAATAGAATTGATCATTAATGTTAATTCAACACAACAGCTGCATTATAAATACATAAAATCATTGTTTATAAGTAATGATGATCTAAACTAGATCTGAAGTCAGTCCAAAACAACTCCATGTAAATATAAAATATTACATAACAGCAGTGGGACGTCGTATATTTATGATTATTTTCCTGATCTGTAGTTGACAGTGTTCACTTGTCTTTACTCATATTGACTCAATACATCAGGTTTGTATAACAAGAACCTAAAAACAGTCAAATATATAATAATATTTAACATGGTTTAAATTGTACATAAATCTGAGGCAATAGATGTAGACTGTACTACACAGAGCGCTCCGGTCTCACCAGTGAATCACATCTTCACGTGCTCAGTGCGTCCTCTACTTACTTGTCTTATTTAACGCTGGCGTGCACGGACGGATCAGTCAACACGAGCGCACAGATCAGTGCCTGCGCGTGACTTTTGGGGCTTTTTTCATGCTCCAGATTCACAAAGGTCGTGCTGTGTTCAAGTGTCATGGTGGACATGGATAACATCTGCTCCAATATATCTTAGATTAAATAACCTGTTTAATCCCAGTGGTCTCTCTGCATGCACGTTCAGGTCTAACATCCTTCAGAGGATGGACCCCTCCCCAATCCAATGTCCACTTGTAAATGTCAGGGGCTTGCCACAAGAGGGCGCTGCTGCTCTTAAACCTTTTCAGGGAGTTTTTTTTCTTCCAAAGAATAACAATAAAATAATAATGGTAGTTTTTTTTCCAGCTGCTCGTTTCAATTCAATTCAGTTTATTTATATAGTTCCAAATCACACCAAAGTTGTCTCAGGGCACTTTACAGGAACATTCACATAAAAGCCAATTAGTAAAGTTCTCTATCTAAGGAATCCAGCAGACAAGTTGAATCTTGGCTTTATTGCAGTCTCCCATCCTGAGCAAGCACAGTGGCAACAGTGGAAAGGAAAAACTCCCTTTTAAAAGGAAGAAACCTCCAGCAGAACCAGGCTCAGGACAAGCAGCCATCTGCTTTGACCGGCTGGTTGAGAGGACAGGAAGGAGAGACAGACAAACACAGAATGGTAGGTCCAGGTGTAGGTCCAGGTGTATCTGAAAGACAAAAAAATAAAACATGTTCAGGATAGAAAAATAATTACAAATACAAAACAGGTTGAGCAGAGTAAGTAAAGACAGTAGTAGAGTGAAAATTGTGGTCAGTTTGTCCTCCAGCAGTCTAAGCCTATAGCAGCATAACTAAGGGACAGCTCAGGAAACCCAAGCCGACCCTAACTATAGGATTTATCAACAAGGAAAGTCTTAAGCCTAGTTATAAAACTGGATAATGTGTCAGCCTCACGGACAGAGATTGGAAGTTGGTTCCACAAGAGAGGAGCCTGATAACTGAAAGATCTGCCTCCCATTCATTTAACAACATTAAAGTTTTTTATAATCCAGTAAGTATAAATAGTTTAATTTGCAGGTTATGAGCTGTAGCTCTTAACGTCCCGAGTCAGAAAGACTTTGTTTCCAGTAACCCAGTAAAGCTTGTAAAGCTGAGATGTCCCAGCTTTTCACTAGCCTTGAACGCAGCACAACATTTGTGAACGTGGAGCCTGAAGAACGTGCACGGTGCTCACGCTGCACCTGTATATTGTGCAGTTTGAGATGTGAACTTTTGAACTACAGGTTATGCATTAGTGAATCTTCATGTCCAAACCTTGTAAACATTTCTGGATACATGTGAGACTGATTAAAATCCAGGTTTTCATCTTTTAAGGACTTCAACACTTTGTGCCTTTTGAAGCAACTCTTTCTTCAAGTGCTCGTGTCAGTTCTAGTGACGGGTTCATCCGTTTGTTCTTCGTGTCAATAAATGTCACTGACTCCATGTGGAGAGCTGCACCTCAGAAAATGATCATTGCGTGATATAAAAGCTCCATATTGAAAAGTCATGCACACTGTGCACAGATGAACTCCTGGACATGAGCTACAAACGTGTCACTCCTCCAGTCCAGCCACTCCTGAACCAGAGACACCATCAGAAGGAGACAAAGACCTGGACTGTCTCTCAGTGGTCCAACGTCCTCTTTCCAGATGAAACTAAATGTTCATGTCATTTATAAATCAAGGTCCAGAATCCATGTAGTTCAAGTCCAGAGAGAAGTTTCCACAGTCAGGGATGGTCTGGCTCCATGTCCTCTGCTGGTTCTGGTGCACTGGGTTCTCTGAAGTCCAGTCCTCGCAGCGTCTAGCAGGACATTTTAGAGACTCCATGCTTTTTGGAGATGCTGGTTTCATTTTCCAGCAGGACTCAGCTCCTGCCCACACTGACCAGAACCACTGTACCAACATCTGGCTGTGGAATATTCTCATTTTGTGACACTGAATGTTTGTTTGTCATCAAGTTATAATCATCAAAAATACAAGAAGTGAAGGCTTGAAATATTTCTGTGTAATGATCTATGTAATGTGGTTTCACTTTCTGAGACGACTTTGACAACTTTATTGAACTTGTTCACGACGTAACGTTTTGAGATGCAGCTGTTGGTTGTTACCTGAGCTGTAGTGATGTTTGTGTTGTGGAGGTCCGGGGACCACAGGGGTCGAGCACAGCAGCACTTTTCCTCTTGGCTTGACGAATCCTAACACGGACACGTTTTAAAGTTGTAAACAATAACAGCTGCTTCATGAACCCGTCAATAAACTAATATCAAATGCCTGGAGTTTAAACACATGCAGCACTTCTGACATGTTTAACTGTGCACTCACGTGCGTTCTGTCATCATCAGAGGTGCTGCAGCGTCCTCTGCACCCCTGCTTCCATCAGCCTCGGCTCGTTTCAACGTTCATGTGTGATGTTTACATTGTTGTATGTTGCTGTGCAAGATCGTTTTTACTCATAAATCTGACAAACATTACATTTTTATTTGTTTGTAAACTTCTGTTTTTCAGGTTTTAATGAAAATAACCATAAAAAATAAACTCAGTGTGTTAAATATAATTTGGCACAAACAAGTTTTTTAAACTCGCATATTTTTAATGTTGTCAAGTGTTGTAAAAATATGCACTGTGGTTGTAAATGTTGAAATATTTCTTGCAGACAGATTTTGGTGAAGTTTATTCTAAATGTGTCAGCTCAGTTTTATTAAACGTGTTCTGGACCCGGCTGCTTCCTCTCTGACCGCCAGGCCTCACTTGTGTCACATTTTATGAAGATTCCCATCGTTTCATGTTTCACTCATTAAATTGAAAGTGTATTATTTGCAAAGTAAACCATTTTTTAAACACCTGGTCTTTAAACAGGTGTAGTGATGATCATTAAGCAGCTTGTGTGGTAAACAGTGGGACGGTGCAGTAAAGGTCTGACATGAGCTTTATTACAACAAACGATAGAAAAGAATGAGATCATGGATACAGGAGGTTGAGTTGCAGGGCAGCTGGACTCTCCTTTAGAGACCGGGTGAGAAGTTCAGTTATCAGGAGAGACTCAGTAGAACCGCTGCTCCTCCACATCCACAGGAGCCAGTTAAGGTGGTTCAGACATCTGGTAAGGATGGACCCTTCAGGCATGATTGACTGGGAGGAGACCCAGGACATGATGGACAGACTGTCTCTCTGTTGATCTGGGAACTCCTTGGAGTCCTCCCAGAGGAGCTGGAAGAGGCTGTGAAGAGATGACTGGACCTCCCTGTTCAAGCTGCTGCCCCCGAGACCTGACTTCAGAACAAAGAGGAATGGATGATGGATGGATGGGTGAGAGGGTGGAAGATGGATGGATGGGTGGGTGGGTGGATGGATGATGGATGGATGGATGGATGGGTGGATGATGGATGGGTGAGCGGGTGGAAGATGGATGGATGGGTGGGTGGATGGATGATGGATGGATGGATGATGGATGGATGGGTGGATGATGGATGGATGGGTGGATGATTGATGGATGGATGGATGGATGATGGATGGGTGGATGATGGATGGGTGGATGATGGATGGTTTTGTCCAAGATGTTTAAGTGACTGAAAACAAACTAAAGTGTCATCAATAAACTTTTGGTTGTCCTTTTCTTATTTAGGGACATGGGAGACCAGATGGAGATTGTCCACGGACCACTTCTGGCCCCTGGACCATATGTTGACCCTGTGTGGTCTGAACACACCAACACATTAAATCCTGACCTGAAGGCTTGGTGCGGTGAATGAACCAAAGATGAACATCTTAATCACATGTCCGTCTTTATTAAATAAAAAATAAAACTACTGAATTTGTCTGATAAATTTAAAAATAATACTTTAAATAAAGCAACAGGGAAGAAGTGTGGAAATATTTATGTCTCCATTACTTATCCAGACCGTGAAAATACTGTAGCCATAAATGTTTTCAGAATAATCGTCAAGATTGTTTCGGAGCAGAGAGCAGAGAACAGAGGGGGCCTTGTGCTCTTTCAGCAGTCGCTGCTTCATCCTGCATCGTGGGACCGTGAAGACAAAGTCTGGACCTGGACTGTTCTGTTGGACCTGATGTTCCTGCTGTCCACACTCACACTTCAGTGTCCTTCAGATTCTCCAGAGCTCAGAGGTCCAGTCGGTTCAACAACCTGAAAACCTGCGTCCACACAAACCTTCCTGCCTGGAGACCTGCTCCGACTGCAGCTGGACTCCACATCTGGGCTGTGAAGGTGCCTGAGGAGACTCGCGCTCCGGACCAGATGCCTCACTTGTCCTTTGGTGTTTCCTCGTGTGTGAGGGGGTGTGGAGCAGAAGCATGAAGCAGCAGCAGTCCACCCAGAGCGAGACAGATGCCTGTCCACCACACTGCGCTGTGGCTCTCCCCGAACATGAACCTCCCCAGGATGCCCTGAACGCACCAACAGACACCAGTTAGCTTCACACGTGACTCCTCACAGCCAGAGATGTGTTCAGGGTCTTACAGAGGAGATGAAGTTGGAGGCGGTGGTGGTGACGGTGGCCCTGGCTGAGGAGGAGGAGTGATGAAGAGCCTTGGAGAACATGGTCCACATGACCGCGTTACAGCAGAACAGCAGGCCCGCGCACAGCAGCCTGAGGGGCGCGTGAAGCTGAGAAAACAACACCAGGTTACATGGACTCAAATTTATGTTCATCTTGGGAACACGTGTCTTTTAGTGCATTTACTAGTGATGGTCCGACAACACCGGTGAGCAAACCACGTGTCGCTAGAAAGTCACGTGACCAACACAGGAGCTGCTTCGCACCGACAACAGGATGCAGCTGCTAAAATAACCTTTGATCTTTTGCTGGTCATCTTTAAATTCATCAAGAATTATGGAGCAACAAACCAAAACAAAGGTTTCTGTCGTGTGGGACCATTTTGATCTCATACTGGAAAATAAGCTCTTTGTTTTAATTTCCTTGCTGCTTCATCCTGTTCTTAGAGTTTCCACTTGATCTATCTGAATTCAAATTCATTTCAAGTCACTCTTAGTTTACTATTCATATTATTTTCTGCAGGTTAAATGTCGCATTTGTTCGACAGAGCTTTCATATTTAAATAAATCCACCTCCTCAGTGCTGAGGCATGATACTCTTGTGCGGCTCTCGAGCCACATGCAGCTCTCCATGATGGTGGCTCTCGTCTCGTGACAGGTTACAACAATACACCAGCACAGCCAGTACGTTTTTAAAACGTGCTGGTGCATTACGCAATAATTGTGCATGTCGGCTCGGGCTTCTGTGATGCAGCTTCACAAATCATACAGCGCAAAGACAAAATGAGAATGCACAATATAAAATTGTGTTGATCTACTTGTTGAGGAGGAAGAAGGTCAAACTGGCTGGAAGAGGTAAAAAAAAAAAGTCCTGTTAACTTCAGATGGATCAGCTGATCACAGGCCGCGCGCGTCTCTGCACCTGCTGTCATCTGTGTTGAAGGAAGTAGGAGCATCACAGGGCCGGTTCCAGACATGGTTACATGAGGGGGCAGGTGGAAATGTGAAGGGGGCATCTTCATCCGTACATACATTACATCATATTCATTGTTGAGCATGGACTTTGGTAATTGTTATTGTTGACTTGTTTTCTTCATGGGACTGGGGTAATGGATAAAAACTGACATTTTTACACCTGTGAGTCAACATTTTCAAACAAGAACACTATCAAACAAAAACAGAGAAAATGACTGACCCATGTCCATCTTGAATGTCTCACTGTGGCTGAAACAAATTACAAATACAACATGAAGAAAGTCAAGGACATGCAGCTTCCACTCATCTCAGTACTAAGGTACATTGTGTTTAAACAGATACTGTGCTGGCTGTGTTTCTTTTTGTTCATAGGTGGGTTGTTCAATTTTTTTTTCTTTGAGTGACTTGGGGTGATATCGCAGCTCTCCCCTCGACTTTGATCTGTCAGTATGGCTCTTATGAAAAAAAAATTAAAACAAGAGATCACTGCATTAAAGGGCCAGGCATGAGAATGAAGTCCCAGATACATCCAGGGTAAACTCAGGTATACAACCATTCTACAACTTACTCACAGTTGCTTTAGTGATAATTAATTAATTAATTAATTATGTTGGGGTTAGTCAGGCTTCACTTTCACGTCTCCAGCTCGTACAAAATGCTGCAGCTCGGCTACTAACAGGAACTCACAGGTTTGAGCACATTACTCCGGTTCTGTCCTCCCTTCACTGTCTTCCTGTACGTGTCAGAGTTGATTTTAAAATTCTCCTGCTGACATTCAAATGCATTAACGGCCTTGCACCATCATATCTCTCCGACCTTCTTCATCCTTATACTCCTTCTCGGGCTTTGAGATCATCAGACCAGCTGCTTTTGACTGTACCAAAAACCAGCTGAAGCTCAGAGGAGATCGAGCGTTCTCGGTCGTGGGTCCTAAACTTTGGAACAATCTGCCCATCAACATTCGACAGGTCACCTCAGTCTCTGCTTTTAAAACTCTCCTAAAAACACATCTGTACTCATTGACATTTAACACAGGGTGATTGGATTTAGATCTAGTTTTTCATTGAAACTGATTCTGTTTATGCTTTTGTTATCATTCCTATTTAACACAAGGTCATCAGATCTGATTTAGTATTTCATTGTTTCTAATTGTTTTTGGTTTTATATTTTTATTCCATGTGCTGTAAATATATCTTGCTACTTTTTTATTTGAAGTTGTGATATTTTTGTTAAGCACTTTAGTAACAGTTTCTGTTTTAAATGTGCTCTATCAATAAACCTGACTTGACTTGAATTAAACACAGCCATCTCCAACTCTGCATCCAACATGTTGGTTACGTACTGTAACCCCTGATTGTATGGGTATAGGCACAGCCCTTTAAGGCTATCGCTAGTGGGTTTATCCCTACGCATGCAGCGCAGCACTGAAAACTTTAGTCCACGCCCACCTACTGTGTGGGCCTCACCCCCGGTCCGTATAAATTACGGTGAGACCGGGTAATAGGCTCCCAAATAGCTTTTTTCTTCAGCCATTTAGGAAACAGTGAGGCCCAGAGCTTAAAGGGCTGCGCCTATACTCAGAATCTGGGGTTACAGTACGTAACCAATGTTCTATTTCATATAGGCTTCGCCCTTTAAGGCTGTCGCTAGTGGGTAAAAGGTGAAGCAGGATGTAGTCTATGCCTCACTGGGTCCACTCAGACACAACATGAAGCACCTGCTTGCACAAAAAATATTTCATCACTCAGCCTTCTGTGTGCATAATTACGTGCTGCGTAATTGCGTGCTCCATGCACAGGAGCGCACTGGAGAAGATCTCTGGTGAGGAAAAAAGGCTGAGATAGCAGACCTGCTGCTGTGAATAGGAACAATGGAGGATACGAATTGTAACTGTGGAACGATGAACAGAGCAGACCAATAGCTCCTCAGGATGAACCCATTAATAACAATAAAATCAGCATTCATGAACTTGTGACTGATAATAAATATCTCACACTGCGACTGCATGCAGGTAGGTGTGAACTCAAAAGTGAGGCTCCATGAAATAAATAATAATCATTCTGTCAGAACCATGAGAACAGAATGGGTCATGGAGAAAGTAGAAACATCACATAGATAAAAACGAATAATTGAACATGGCGATGACCAGGCAGCCGCAATACAAATATCCTTCACTGTCATCCCTCCGTGCAGAGCCATGGAGGATGAACACCCTGTGGTGGAATGTGCTCTGAGATTCTCTGGAGGATCCAGTCCAGATGAACTGTAAGCTTCAGAAATAGCCCCACACAATCAGTGTGAGAGGCGCTGGGTGGATAGAGGACGTCCTGAAGAGCTGTCCCAGTAATACACGAACATATGCAGAAAGCAGCGCAGTGCGGCCGTGTGCACCACATAACATGAAAAATGTGCGCATAGGACAGAAGAAGGTGAGATGTTGCTGCAGAAAGGACAGCATGCCACCTAGTGGACTAGCTTATGCGTTCGGGAGCAACAAGGACGATTGACGGTTCTTCCTACCGGACCCGGTCCAGGGTCCGTGATATCAGCAGGACTGGAGGGAACACATAAAGGAGCATTTTTGGCCATGGGCTGTGATCGAAGGCGTCCACTCCTAACATAGGGTTGTCTCGTGGGCTCAGTGAGAACCATAATTGACACTGGGCGTTCTCCCGTGTCGCGGACAGATCCACTGCTGCTTGGCCAAAACCTGCTCCAAATCCGAGAAATCAGCTCGGGATGGAGGCTCCAGTCTCTGTGGTGGGGACCGCCCCTCGACACGATTTCCGCTCGCCTATTCAGGATGCTGGGAATGTACACTGCTCTGATGGAGAGCAGGTTTTTGTGTGCCCAACACACCAGCTGTTTCGCGATGCGTAACAGTTGAGCTGAGCACACGTCTCCCTGACGGTTTATGTAAACTGCCGTCACCTTGTTGTCTGTGTGGATCAGAAAATGCTGATCCCACAGCAGGGACAAAATGCTGAGTCACATTTCAGACCGTGAAACATTCTAGCACATTTATGAGAAGCGACGTGGTCCAGCCACTGTGCTCCCACTGCTTGGGACAGACACATTCCTCCCAGCTTGACAAAAACGCGTCTGTGAAAACTGAGACGTGTGACATAGGCCTGCTGATGGGAACTCCCTCTGACAGAATGAGAGGGTTTCCCCAGTGATTCAGATCCGTTCTCACGGAGGGGGGGCACAAAGATAATCCACCTCTTCTGGCGCACAGGATCTATGCACAGGCGGACGAACCATCTCTGAAGGCGTCTCATGTGAAGTAGGCCCAGCGGAACCACGATGTGGGCCGCTGACATCATCCCATGACAGGCAGAACTGTCACTATGCTGCAGGGTTTGACACGGCGGAGCTGAGCTGACAGAGCTTCGGCTCTCAGCTGTGATACACGGCTCTCATTGTAGTTGAGTTTAGCTCCACTTCCAGATAAACAATCATCTGGGACGGACGAACGGAAGATTTTCCCAGTTTATAGAAACCCCAGAATTAGCAGGTGGAACACTAGCGTTTTGTTCTGTGCGACAGCTTTCTAACTGGACCGAGCTAATAAGAGCAGATCCTCCAGATAAAAATAATTCTCATTCCTGCCATGTGTAATGACTGCAGAGCAATCTCCACGCATTTCGAGAACATGTGTGGTGTGTTTCAGAATGATGGAAATGTGAAAATATGCGCTCTTCAGATCTATGGAGGTGAAAACCAGTCGTTCTGGTGAAGTTCTCCAGCAGCTGTTTGTCAGCATGTGGAATTGTCTCCCTATGATCGAATTGCTGAACATGAACAGGTCGAGAATGGGTCTCATCCCTCCGGATTTTTATCAGAACCAGGAAATAGTGGGAGGGAAAAAAAACATATTTTCCTCTCCGTTGGGAACTCTGGAAATCACGTTTTTCGTCAGAAATTCCTGAACTTCTGACTGAAGAGACAAGCTATGTTCTGGAGAAGACAGAACCATCTCTATAATCCCTCTGAACGGTGGGGGTTGAGCTGCGAACTGCAGCGTGTAACCCCTGCTGATCAGACGGTCCATCCATCTGTCCAGGGAACACACTCGCTGCCACTCTGAGTAGCGCTCGGAGAGCGAGCACGCATTTTGTGTTGTGTCATGTTCCTCATGAACGTCAACCAGGCTAAAAAAGACCTTACTGCCATCACCCGCTCCGTAGACTCTCCTGGGGGAACCCAGGGGGCGGCTCCGACAGAAAAAAAGGGCTGTATGTGTGCCTCTGTGCTGAGCCCAGGCTGCGGTCTCATAGTGCTGAGGTGAGCCGGCACGCACTGAGAGGAGGCGTGAGCGCTTTCTGAGTGAGACGCCGTTTCGGTGGAGGCTGCAGCTGTCAAGGAGAAACAAGTTTACTCTCGCTGCGCTGTGAGTGGGCAGAAAACAGCAGAAATTAAAAACGGGCTCTGGCTGAAAACGAGGGATTTTACTGGACTTGGTCTGCTGAAAAAACATAACTTTAGCTGACGTGGCAGACGTTTTGTGATATTTACTGAACTGCGGTGCCATTTAAAACACTGTTTAGAGGTTACTGGTTCGTTCTATGTAGGGAATGTGTGAAGAGAGGCAGCTGAGAGATCAGCTGATCTGACAGTCTCAGAAGAAAACTTTACTTTCAGAGATGTTTCTGTTTTATATCAAAAACATACATAGTCAAAAAAACATACCTTCCCCTCAAGGAGCTGTTCCCTAGTAGAGGGGGCTGGTGGAGGAGCGGAGCGTGAAGTCGCTGCCGCTGTTTGTTTTTGTTTTGTCTTTCAGATACACCTGGACCTACCATTCTGTGTTCATCTGTCTCTCCTTCCTGTCCTCTCAACCAGCCAGTCAAAGCAGATGGCCGCTTGTCCTGAGTCTGGTTCTGCTGGAGGTTTCTTCCTTTAAAAGGGAGTTTTTCTTTCCACTGTTGCCACTGTGCTTGCTCAGGATGGGAGACTGCAACGAAGCCAAGATTCAACTTGTCTGCTGGATTCCTTAGATAAAGAACTTTACTAATTGGCTTTTATGTATGTGAATGTTTCTGTAAAGTGCCCTGAGACAACTTTTTTGTGATTTGGCACTATATAAATAAACTGAATGGAATTGAATTGAATTGCCGCAGCTGTGGAGTGCCTCTGCTGCTGTTGCTGGCCAAGGCGGTCCCTCCAATGGCCGAAGGGGCAGGAGGAGGACTGTGACGTCACCAGATGGTGTACAGTCTCTGAGACCTCCTCGGACCTCTGCGATTTCTCAGGGATGGTCCTGAAGTTGGCCCCGAACAGTGCCTCTGGGGTGATGGGGCCCTCCAGCAGGTCTTTCTGCAGCCTCTCGGACAAGGATGGCGAGAGGCAGAGCCAGGTGGTCCTCTGGATCATGGTCATCCGGGCAGCGATGCTGGACAGGCAGACCGCAGAGGTGGCGCACATGTTTAAGATGACATCAGCGGCTTACAGAGAGAGCTCTTTGTCTCCTCCAGCAGGTCGGTTTCCTCCAGCCTCTTTGAGATGCTGTAGGCCAGCAGGGCGACGTTGTTGTTCGCCGCGAACCGCCTGGGATGTGCACTGGTAAGCTCGGTTGGAGAGCTTTGTCACCCTCTGGTCATGCTTTCCTGGAGGAATAGGTTGCTGGTCCATCCTGGAAGCTTTTGCCTCAAGTGCCTCCACCAAGCTTGGCTTCGGGGGGGGGGGGTCCGAGGGAAAAAAACACAGATTGAGCTGCTGCCAACATTGCCTTTTTCGAGGGAATCATCCGATTCACCACGAGAAAAAAAAGTTAGAAAAGGCGATGGCGTCGTCCCGCGTGTAGTGGCCCACCACGGAAAAGCACTCCTCGGCACTTACCTTGAACAAGGCTGCTCATCTCTGCTTCTCCTCGGGGAGGAAGAGCTCACCGGGACGGCAGGAGGTTGGCGTGGCGGAGACCCAGGCATCCTTAGCAAAGGTTGTGTCGGTCAAAGCTGGACAACTTTTCCTTCGTCGTTCTTCTGACAGTGCTAGCTAGCTGGCTGAAGAAAAAATGGGAGCCGATTACCCGGTCTCACCGTAATTTATACGGACCGGGGGTGAGGCCCACACAGCAGGTGGGCGTGGACTAAAGTTTTCAGTGCTGCGCGCGAAGGGATAAACCCACTAGCGATAGCCTTAAAGGGCTGTGCCTATACAAAATAGAACGTTCCTTTTGTGTTTCAGGTTGTGCTCTGCACACACTCTTCTGACACTCGTTTCTGAGCTCTGTTGGATCCACATCTGCTGCAGTGTAAAGGAAATCTCTGCGTGTCTTACCTGTCTTAAGCAACTTTTGGATTAATGCCAAGTGTGCTTCCAGCGAGGCCATGGCATTGATATGCATGCAAAACACCAAAACACACAAACACACACACACCCCACCCCACAAACACACACAAACACACACACACCCCCCCCACACACAAACAACTTCCAGGTCACACGTTTGATAGAACACAAATATCAAAATCAAATAAGTGGCAGGACAGTTTTTCAAAGTTTCATTTTTGATGTGAGGTTAAAGTCAAAAATGCAGAAAACAATGATGTATTGTATTTTTTGAATCCTACATAAAAATGAATAAAGAAATGACAAGAAATTTTTCATTTTTTGATTATTGATTCTCTATGAAAAAACAACTGAACGAAAGGTACACTAATCAGAAATATCAAAGATATTTTAAATTTAAATGAAAATATGAAATATTATAAAATACAATGACCTAAATTGTATTAATTTATATAGTAGGTCATTAAATCAGTGTCAGTCTGTCAAATAAGTTTCCTGTAGGGATCTTTTAGTTCCAGCAGGTATGCAGTGACACAGTATTGACACAGTATTGACACAGTATTGACACAGTATTGGCACAGTATTGACACAGTATTGGCAC